GAATGTCCTATCTGTTTCCTCTATTATCCGCCTTACCTAAACCGTACCCGGTGCTGCGATCAACCCATTTGCTCTGAATGCTTCGTACAGATCAAGCGCCCGGAGCCTCATCCCCCAGAGCATGGAGAGCCTGACGCGAATGCTCCTTCAGCGGAGGGAGAGCAGGCTGAGTCGACCGAATCACAATTGGTCTCGGAGCCCTCGGCATGCCCCTTCTGTGTTCAGCCAGAGTTCGGAGTCACCTATTCACCGCCCTCGTTCCGTCGCGGCTTGACTTATGCTACAGACCCCAGCGCCCGACTTTCACCTAACTTCACTTCCCCTGTATCCTCCACCTCCTCCTTATCATCTGGCACTGCAGCCGTGCCAGGCCGTCGCCGTGCAACCTCACTATCCGCCACTGATCCCACAGTGGTAACAACGGACAGGATTCGACCGGACTGGGCCACCAAATTATCGAATGCACGAGCCCACGCGGCACGTCGATCTGCGGCAGCCACTGCCCTTCACACTGCGGCGTATTTGATCAACCCCGGTGCATCTGGGAGTGACTCGCGTGGGTTTGGCATCGGACGGCGCGGAATGCGAAGAGCTACGGGTGGAGAAGGGTATAGCGGCCGGACCGCTTCACCCGCCCTCAATGCATTGGCTTTCTTGACGGAGCGATCGGGTACTGATCGGACACCTCGAGCAACTGGACAAGATACCGATTCTGCTTCTGCCGAAGAAGGAGCTGGTAACCCAGCTGCCGCTCGATCGAGTTCGAGGCGCAATCGAATTGACGATCTTGAGGAAATGATGATGATGGAAGCTATCCGGCTAAGCTTGGCCAGCGAAGATGAGCGCCTCAGACGGGAAGAGAAAGAGGCAAGAAAGGAGGCCAAAAAGAGGGAGAAGGAGAAGGAGAAAGAGGCCAAGAAGGCGGATAAAGTCGCTCGCAAAACTGGCCTGTACAGCAATAATGCTAGTGCCTCCGCTTTGGATGTCCTTGGCGAGTCCAGTTTAGGTAGGGGGAATAGTAGCTCATCCTCTGTCATAGGTGAAGGTGTCAATGGTGAAGAAATCGCTGCTGGTAGCAAAGGCAAGGGGGGTTGACCGTGCATTGCCATCGACCGCAGAAGAAACGAACCCCCCCTACGCTTCTTGATCCAGCAAGCCAGCCGGCGGATCAGTCCGAGCAGTCACGACAATCTCACCTAAGACAGGTCTCTGCCTCTTCATCGTTCTCCTCTGTCATGGAAACCAACCCGGAGGATGGCGCAGGCGGCCCTGCTGCTGGACAGGGCAACACCAACTCTCTTGAGCCAATGTTCAATTTCCGCAGTCTAGCTGCTGTGATTGGAGATGAGGAGAAAGTGGATGACCCTGCGGAACACGTTGAGGATACCTCCAACAAGCCACAGACAGAGGGCTCTTCAAGTGCCACTCCGTCGGTCCACCAGCCTTTCACGGAGGCGAACCCTGCATCGACGCCCATCGTTGAGTCTCGTGATCACTCCGGGACCCTTCCCAAGGAACTTGAAACTCGCTCTGTCGAGATTACCAGTTCCCCGATGCATCCAGAAGCTACTTCATGAAACCCTTGGGCTTTGTTTCTTCTTGTTTCTTTCTTTTCTCCCCCCGTTTGGCTTTCTTTGTTTGTATCTAAATACAAACCCGGACCGCATGGCATGTGGATTAGCCGGCGCAGGGATGGGTCACCGGTGAAGGTATCTCTGCTTATCTTTTTTTTATGCTCATTGTTTTTCCCTTTTCTTACACTGGGTCTTCCATATCATCATTTCTTACTTTCTGGTCAAGGATAGAAATTCTTTTGTGTTTAGCATTCAGATCGGTGAATAGTGAGATTTCTGCTTCAACAATTAAATAAGGACAACTATGAGAACTATGTACATAAATATAACCTTGAGTAGTCGTAGTCTAGTAATCTGATTATATTCAATTCTTCTACAATGTATTTTGCATCTATGAAGTGCATATGCGGCTGATCTGCGGGTCCAACTCAAATGATTACCTGGCCTGTGATTGGACAATGATGTTTTAAGAAAGCAGAGTGGGGAATCTTGGAAGGCTTTATTGTTTATTTCAGGTTATCGGCTTATATTTATGATATGATTATTATATGCTCTGTCATATGATGTGATATTAAATTTCACAGCTAATCTTATTGAAATGTCCTTGGAATATTCTAGACTATTACCCTGATACATTACGTATCGCCACAAGTTCGCCACCTAAAGACATTTTTTATGACGGGGAAGAGGTACAAACGTACATGTATTTACGAGACCTTCAAATTTAAGTGGCACACATATGTAGGACATATTTACATGTATTTACACGGATATGAAGTACGTATCAATAATCCTAAAATTTATTGAGTTTACATGTATTGTTCTAGGTACTGGGTCAGGGTCAGACTTTGTCCGTTCTCGGCTGAAAATCTTTTTCCAAGGTTCTTCCTTCTGACCTCTCAACCACACCCTTGTTCCACCTTGATCAGTTTATTTTCTCAATAGAAATCGACAGTCTCGAGATAAGAAAAGAGAAAAGAAAAAGAAAACCAAATCTGCTGCTCCGCTCCTTAGATACGGGCAGTGCAGTGGATAACAAGATCAGCTCGACTTGCCGGGGTGGATTGCCGTAAGATCTTAGCTGCTTCTGAAGAACTATGGCATTGACACCACAGACAAGATCACATTCGTCGCCCGACAGCTTTCCCACAGCACAGCTTTTCCTACTAGGTATGTCATGTCCTGGCCCCGGGGGTTTTTGTATTTGGCAATGACTAACACAACGAAACAGCAATATGCCGGGTTGCAGAGCCTATCGCCTTGACTTCTATCTTCCCATACTCGTGGGTGATGGTAAAGGACTTCCACATGGATGATGGCAATAATGCCTCCTTCTATGCTGGAATTCTGATTTCCGCATTCTCGCTCGCAGAGGCTCTGACCGGTATGTTCTGGGGTGCTTTTTCGGACCGCGTGGGCCGGAAGCCTATCCTTATATCTGGCTGCGTCGGCACTATGGCCTCTTTGATCCTGGTGGGGATTGCTCCGAACTTCTGGGTCGCGCTAGCCGGTCGAGCTCTTGGAGGAGCCCTGAATGGGAACATTGGAGTAATTCAGACAATGGTTGGTGAACTTGTTAAGCGACCTGAACATGAACGTAAGTCTATCACTATCCTAGCATATATAGCAGAGTTGAGGATTAATGTTGTATGCAGCTCGAGCATATGCGGTCATGCCTTTTGTTTGGTCAATTGGAACGATTATCGGTCCAGGTATGTATTGTTCTTCCCATACTGGAAATTCTACTGCGAATGCTAATTACATTCAGCGATTGGGGGCTTGCTAGCAAAGCCTACTGAAGGGTTTCCCTCCCTGTTCCCAGCCGATGGCCTCTTCGGGAAATTCCCTTACCTTTTGCCCAACCTTGTTTGCTGTGTCTTACTTCTCCTTAGCATTATCGGTAGCTGGCTGTTCCTGCAGGAGACTCACCCAGACATGCAACCTGGCGAGACCCATGACCATCTCGACCAGACAGTTGAGCAGCCGCTCCTGGTCACATCTGGCGCAACTGCCAATGCCGGTGTGGACCTACGGGCGGAGTCTTATGGGACCTTTAATCGGGTTCACCTGCATAATGATGAGAGTTGGAATGTGCAAGCCGATGGATCCTCGCCCACGTGGAAGAAATTACCAAAGCCCAAAACTTTCACCTGGCGGGTCACCATGCTTGTAGTTGCGTTGGCTATCTTTACTTATCACTCGATGACATATGACCATCTATTGCCAATCTTCTTACAGGATAAGGACCCCCGAGGGTCGTCACATTCGCACCATTCGCCCTTTGACATCCCGGGCGGGGTTGGTCTTTCAACTCGAACTGTGGGTGTGATCATGTCCACCGATGGCATCATCGCCCTTGTGATCCAAAGCATCATTTTCCCCGTGCTGGCACATTATTTGGGAATCTGGCGGCTCTTTGTCATCGTTACGGTGCTCCATCCAATCGCATACTTCATGGTTCCCTTCCTGGTCTTTTTGCCACGCCAACTCATCTATGTCGGTATTTATGCTTGTTTAATCGTCCGCAATATCCTGTCCATTATTGACTATCCTATCCTCTTGATTCTCATCAAGCAAGCTAGCCCCGCAGACTCCGTCATGGGCAAAATCAATGGCCTCGCTGCTTCTGCTGGGGCTGCATCTCGAACTCTTGCTCCTCCGATTGCTGGCTTGCTTTACAGCTCTGGGGCTGAGATTGGCTGCACTGCTATTGCCTGGTGGGGAAGTAGTCTTGTTGCATTGGTCGGCGCTTTACAGCTGTGGTTCATCCAGCGCGACAAACGTTCATCAGCAACTGTGGAGCCTGCAGCTGTTTGTCATTATGTTGCTCTTCCAGAGCAGCCACATGACGACATTGTCCATATCATCGTCAATGGCGATGATGCGCGCACAGAGCGGTAAGAGTGTCGGATTAGGAGACAAAGGTGAAATTGGGGGGCTCTTTTTTACTGGAGTCCTAAACTTATAGAACTCATAGAAATCATAGAACCATATATTTCAGATCAACAAAGGCATTGTCTAGGGAATTGTCCTGTCTTATGTTACACATCATCCAAGTAGGAATCATGTTCTTTGTACAGATTCCATAGTCTGTTAAAATTGGAATCCTTCTAGCTATAACACCCATAAAATCATAAGCTAAATGTATAAGATAACTGGACTACATCGTTTTTAAGGACAGTACCTACATACATGTAGGTATGCGTTGTATAGTAGACACCCGAGATCCGATTAGATAGTGTGGATGCACCTTTCCCAATTAGGCCTAGTTTTGTTTACCCAGCAACGTCAACACAGCAACTCTTTTGTATACACAAACTCTGCCTTGCTCTGCTTTCTCACTAAAAGTTGGTTCTGAAAAGAGAGACGGCTTCTTACAACTAACCTTTTCCCCTCTCTTTCTTCAGGGATTGTCTTGCTTTCATAATGTCAAATCCACTCTCACCCCTCTCATCCTCCTACCAGAACGCGCGCGCACAATCTCAAATGGCGAATTCTTCGCCCTTCCTTCACAAGACCCTTGACCAGCCCTCGGAACAAGTTATTCCCTCAAGCCCATTGAAGAGAGAATGGACAAGCCATGCCGTGCCGAGTCAAGATGCCTATGATGAAAACGAAACCTACCCTAACGACCCCGAGAACGAGAATGAACACGAGAATGACGATTTCAACGATGCTGAATCATATCAACAAGGTGCCAGCTCACCGTTCCAGTTTGACGGATGCGAAGATACTGTGGATTTCCAGAAGCTGCGAGAAATGCGACAGACCTCATCCCAATCACACCCACAGCTTGAACCACTAGAGGAGGAGAGCCCTGCAAGCTCCCCATTCCGTCCGCATGTGGCAGAGGATACAGCTGATTTTCGAGGGTTGCGCGAGGTGCAACCCATGTCACCTGGCTTGGATAAGCGGTTGGCCCTAGAGGAGCCAATGAGCTCCCCCTTCCGTCCTAATGCCATTGAAGATACAGTGGATTTCCAAAATATGCACGAGGGTCAACAGTCGTCTCCTCTGCCATGCCCACAGCTTAAGTCATTGGAGGAGGAGAGCCCCGGAAGTTCCCCATTCCGGCCTCATGTCAGAGAAGAGACAGCGGGTTTCCAAAAACTGCACGAGGGCCAGCCTATGTCTCCTGGATTAGGAAGGCGGCTAGCTCTAGAGGATCCGGAGAGCTCCCCATTCCGCCCTGAGGCGCGGGAAGAGACAGTCGACTTTGATCGCTTGCGCGAAATGCAGAATGACTCGCCGATTCCTAAAGCGCGGCCATTGCCCGATCCCGCTAGTTCGCCTTTCCGCCATGAGGCAAAAGACGTGAGAGCCGAACCATCCGATCTGCATGAGATAAAACAAGCTTCACCAATGGTGTCTAAGTATTCTTCGCCTGCTGTGGCACTGAATTCGCCCGTCCGCCCTGAAGCATCAGAGACGGCTGATTCCCCGAAGCCACACGAGTTGAAGCAAGACTCACCGGTGGCATCTAAGCGTTCATCCTTTGCTGCAGAATTGAGCTTACCCGTCCGCGACGCAGCGCCAGAGGCAGTTGATTCCCCCAAGGTACATGCCCATGCGGAGCCACCAGTAGCATCCAACTCCTCTTCCCCTATTCCAGTACCCACTTCAAAGGAAAATACTCTTAATCCTCGCAAGTCGCGCCGGATATCTCGTGCATCACTTGGGCTTAACCAGCGGCCGGTTGCTGCAACTCCCCGCAAAAGATCGTACGACCAAACACCTCAGGACTTGGAGGACGATTTACAAATGAGTGAGCGCCATAAGAAGGGTATGGTAAGCCGACCAGATGCACCAGCGATTCACATCGATGTCGAAGAGGAGCCTAGTGTAGTCCACGACCAGAGCGTCCTTTCCGCTACGAGTGCTGCCCACGACCGATCAGCAATTGGCAACAGCATGATTGAGGACAAGCACAACGAAGGGATGAGCACGGTACTTCATGAAGATGGCAACAAAGAAAATATTTCACTCGAGAATTCGATGGCTGACGACTCAATGGATGACACTTGTTTGAGCACGTTTTCCGCCATGCCTGATATGACTACATTTGCAAAGCTCCGCGCCCAGTCGCCGATGAAGTCAATGCGAGGCAGTGTCGCCCCCAGTCCAGCTCCCACTACGGATGGGCATCGACACAGTATCGATCCGACCACCCCGGGCACAGGGCGCAGGGCATACAGAGCGAGTGCCTATCTAGATGGAAATTCACCTATGGGATCGCCTACGCCGAGGCCCAGAGGCCCGCGGGACATGGCTAATCCAGCTGACTCCGCCAATTTGCTTGATTTCACCGATCAAATGAACTTCTTCCCCGTCAGTCCATGCAAAGTGCTCGTTTCTCCCCCTCGCGGCGTTCTCCTCTGCGATCGGCCCGGCAATCCATTCGTTCTCCCGGGAAGATGTCATCACTGTTGGACTTTGATATTCCAGCTGCACCTACCCCTCGATCCATTCCCACAGTCACTCCCCGTGAATTGGAGTCACTGAAGTCCGGCTTCTTGTCTGAGATATCTTCGCTCAAAGCCACTCTCAGCGGCAAAGAGGCTGAGGTTGCAAGCCTAAAGCAAGCAGTGGCAGATGCGGAGAGACGTGTTGGTGAGGCTCTGGAAGAAGTACGCAACGAAGCCGCCGGCAAAGAGGTGCTGGAAATGGAACAGGCCGAGTGGGAGCGTCGAGTCAACGAGATGGAAACTGTTCTGCGGTCCGCCCGATCCGAATTAGTGGAGGGGGAGCGTGAGCGTGATCGCCTGTCCCGAAAGGCCGAAGAGGCCGAAAAGATCAAGGAGAACTTAGAAGGCAAAGTTGTCGAGCTCGAAAGCCAGCTTTCTGCTGCACGCGCTGCGACTGCTTCTAGCAATGGTACAGCTAGCTCATCTCACCAGTCTGCCCACTCACAGTCTGTGCACTCAGCTGAAGACACTGCGCGAGAAGTTCAGGACGCAGTTGAAAAGGTCGCTCGCGAGCTTCATGTGCTCTACAAGGGAAAACATGAGACCAAGGTTGCGGCTTTGAAAAAGAGTTACGAGTCTCGCTGGGAGAAGCGTTTGCGTGAGGCGGAGAAGAAGCTCACTGCTGCACGCGAGGAAAACGAAACTCTCCGTGCCGAACGTGATGCTGCGCAATCTGATTCGACAGCCGCGGCTAACACCAGTCTCGTCGCTCGCGAGAATGACGAGCACGAGGCCGAAAAGCGTGTCATGGAGGCCCAGATCAAGGGTCTACAACGAGAAATGGCTGCTCTTAAGGATGACACTGAGCGAATCCGTGCAAATCTGGAATCTGAACGCGCCGAGAAGGGCGAGCTTGTTGCTGCTGTTGATGAGTGGCTAGCCATGCAGCAGGCGCCTGCCCCATCTCAGCCTCGAGACCGCGAGCCGTCTGTGGCATCTTCAGTGCACAATGACCACATTGACGAGCCAGCTCAGCCATCCCGCGAAGTCACACCCGATGACTTCCGTCGCAGTGTCAGTCGTTCTGTGTCTGGAAGCGTCCGCCCTCCTGCCACTACGGAAAAGAGGATCCCTAGGTTCGGTGCTCCCAGCGGTCATTCTCGTGGTAATAGCGGTGGCAGATCTGGCATTGCAATGCCTACTCCCGGCCGAGGTGGGATCATGAGTTCAATTGAGAGGATGGGCCGAGGTGGTGTTTAGATTGTCCTATGGATTTGACTTGCGTCGCCCTTTCCTATTTTTGTTTTGTTTCTTTGCCTTCACGAGTCGTTCTCATCTTGATTCCCCGGCAGCAGATGTGATTTTCGGTTTTACTTAAATTTGGTTTATGATGTTTATGTCTACTTCTACTTTTCGGCGTCTGTGAAGATTGGTCCAAGCAGGAGGGGGGGGGTTGGTTTCGAATTGGGTCACTGAACATTGATATGAAATGATGTAACGATTCCACCGATCCATTACCATTGTATATTTTTCAGGCCCTCGGGGTCATACATAGACAGTGAGGAAGCGATTGTAGTTTTGCCATGTCATTGGGCGCATTCGAGAGGCAAGTCATCAGTCTCTATACAAGCCCCCTATACTCATTCTGACGAGAGTACCTTGGTTATCTTTCCAAACCCCGTTTCCTGTTCTCGACTATATACACATAAGCCACCAGCATCAAAGGATAGCTGACTCATACATAAGCAGCAGACACCGAGAGATGAAAGATAATAAGGCCAGCGGCTGGTTATATATATCCATAGAGAGGCAATGACCACCTGCAGGGAGTAAACATACACGTCTAATAACGTCCTATATGATAAAATCCCACTCCCTCCTCCCTCTCCGTATTCCATCAGCATTAGGTATCCCCTAAGCATCTTCATTGCTAGCTCGAATTTCACTCAAGCAGCAACCTTCAGCGTGAGACTTCAGCGCTTCATTGTTGACGGTTCCTTGACTATCGTCAGCGTAGAGGGGTCACTGCAGTGGCTCACCCTGTCCTGGTAACAGCTAACCTGTCCATTTATGGTATGGCCTCACTGACCAGTCGCAGATATCTTCGCCATTACGTGGGTCACTTTCATCTTTATGGCATTCTTCATGTTTCTTGGATTTGGACCGACGGGGATTGTTGCAGGTGTGTACCACTTTCTTTGTGAGGCTAGTATTGCATTTCAAGTTGTGCCTACCACCTGTCTGTAGGATCTTTGGCGGCTGCGTTCCAGTCGTTCATGTATGGCGCATTTACACCGGCGGGTGGAATATTTGCCACTTTAACCAGCATGGCGATGCTAGGTACACTCATGCCTCTAGAAGTGCTTGTTGCTTCTGCTCTTGCAGTGGGTGTCGCAGTGGGTGCAATAGTGTGGAAAGTGGCATTGTAGGAAGACTTTTAATATCTCGAGCGCACTCTTCAATATGAAAGTCATGGAATCTTGGAATACCGGAATTTATACCTCATAGCGGAATCCTTTCCACCCGTAGCCAGAAAAAGAAAAAGAAAAAGAAATTTTATTTTCCTTTTTATTTTATTCTCCAATTAAGTCCCCCACCTTCTCTAGTCACGCGCAAGAAATATATGTAGAGATATAGAGTGTTATCGCTCAGACCTGTCCATAGCCAATATGATTCACTGGAGTTAGCTATTCCCCCGCATTTGGAGGGGCAAAGTACGCCACTGGGATGAAAGAGGATATATACTTTTAGCTTGCGAGACTCGGCTTTCCCCCCGGACTCGCAAAACGTGGGGTGAAATCATGCCGGACTGCCGTCTTGGTCTTTTCTCTGTTGGCTATTGGTCTATCGAATGCTTGGCAAGTTGGATACGATCTATTGTCAATCATCTCGAGTTATTAAAGTCATTAACGGTGACATGTCCGAGATGTACATGCTATCCCATGATTCTATTTTGTATCTTGCCTAGGTTTGTCTGGTAATATAAGAGCTTTTTCGCTTTTCCTGAATATTCGAAACATCTTGGAGTCTAAATGCAAATCCTGCTTTAAGTCATATTTAGAGAGTACCTGGACCTGTTAAAGGGGACCTTCCAAGGTTGGGGACCTGGGGACCTCAATCGAAGAATTAGATAAGCCACCAAAGTTCCAAGGTTGGAATCGAACGGTTCCGGTTCGGATGGCAGAGTCGGCAATCTATCGGAGAAGTCCCTTCTCTTTAAAAATGAAATCATTTTATATATTTTGTACAGAATCTCGTCCTTTTTGTCTGACGGAAGATGCCGGGAAGCAGATAGAATATCAACGGTCCGGTAATAAAAACAAAATCAAATCCATTGACATTTGCTATGTTCGTGATTGGCGTCCCCACTGATACTGAGGTAGAATTCTCCATTTCTCCATTTCTCCATTGGATTCGAGGCTTTTAGATGGCGTCATCCACATTTTGGAATGGCAAAAATTAAAGAACTGGGCTCTCCGTAGATCGTATATACAACATAAAAAAAATAGTACATACAACATAACTAGAGTACACATTGAGAATGTTACATATTCCGAGAATCGGCACTTTTTTGGTCCACGTGAGGGTTCGGCAGGCCGGTTGAAACAATGCGGGATATAAATTTATAAAATCTACTTTGGCCCGTTCAGGGGTACTCCACGATTCCGGTTTTATTCCGGGGTTGGGTTTTTGTGGGTAGTACATATATTGTATAATCCAATATGTACAATATACAGTCAAATCTGAGTATATTCTCCCTTGCACATACAATGTAATCCGTGGCACAGCGTATAAAATATAACATATATTCAATGTTTCAACATCTTGCACAAAGCACAATAATTGTCTCACAAGAATACCGTTCCACTGTGGAAGGCCTGGACTCGAATATTAATAATAATATAACAGAGCTGCGTCAAGATGGAGCCGTTAGGGCCGTGCTATTACGTAGGTTAGAGCCGGGTTACGATATTACGTGTAAGGAATTCATGATTGAAATTTTATATAGTTTTCACACATCAATAGACCAACCTGCATTGATCTATCTTGTGTGGAGTACGGAGTATAGCATTAAGCATTACAGTCCAGAATATGGATGTGTATAACATGTCGACAATCAATTCAAAATATATTGTATATTGTACACCTGGGCAGTCCACGGGTGCTGATCGTATTACTCATCGGTCCAGACGTCCACGGGTTCAGACATGCGCCACAACCAAAATCCCTCCACATAGGCTCCGCTTGTCGGAGACTGGAGAACTCTCTCCAGGATTGGCTGAAAAGTCTGGGACAGTCGGGGGAATGTGGGAAAAGCAAATTCCCCTTTTTTCCCATGTCGACCCGCAATATGGGATCTTCACGGATTGTTATCTTTTTATTTAATTTCATTTTTTGTTCGGTGCTTCTCGGAGGATGGAGGCCCACTTCGCAAAGGAATCAAAAAGAGTAAGAATGAAAGGGAACGAGAAGATTTAATATGCAACTAATCCCACATTTATAATATATTGGCATGAGCACATAGCCGACTTGGGTATATAATGAAGAGCCGACTTGTGTATATTGTACAGAGTTATGCTGTAGTAAGGCGTCTAAAGAGAATGATATCATCAGACTTTCACATGGAGTCCAGGGAGACCCGTGGACGTAACGTGACCGGGCCGAGGGATGGTACAGACCAAACGAAAAACAAATAAAAAATAAAAATAAAAACCAAATGGCGTCGAAGGTACCCCAGTTTGACGGGTCTTAGCTCTGAGTTAGGGACATATTACCTAATTAAGTAATTCCCATAATACCTGTAATTTACGTAATACACGGGGGAAACAGTAATTTATTCCAATTCCCCTCAAACCTTGGCTGTTTGCGGGTTCAACCATGGTAAGAGAAACTCTGGGAACCTGGGGCATATTTAAGCCCTGGAGGGATATTTCGATTAAATAAAAAAAGGAATCCCTCTTTCTCTCGATTTCTGCTTTTGTCTTCCTTTTCCTTCTCTGGTTTTTTCTTTTTCTCTCATATCACATGTCACATGTCAACTCATCGTGACATTCCCTTTTCAGTTCTTTATCACATGCTCAGTGTCTCTATATAACTCGAATGTCCCCCATTCGCCCCCGAACGCAATAACACAACATGACTGATACCGAATCCGGGAAACGAAAGGCCTCCACGGCCGGTGTCTCCGGTCATAACCGTCCCGTGAAGAGACGCGCCTCAAAAGCCTGCTGTTGCTGTCGTGCCCGTAAAGTGCGCTGCGATGTGGTCGAGAATGGCTCTCCATGCACGAATTGCCGCTTAGATCAGGTTGAGTGCGTGGTCACGGAGAGTAAACGCAGAAAGTTTGTGGAATTGAAATCAATTTTATCTGTAAACTTGATTGACCTGTGATTTAGGAAATCTCGCGTTGAGGTAGAGAACCACTCCGAATCTCCAGAGGCCTCAGAGGAGAATCCTTTCCACCGACTCAGTGACCTTTCAGGCTTGCCCGATTTCGCGCCGACGTCCCCTTCGCAGGCCTCGGTCGATCTTGACCAGGGTCAACATATGCCTCATCTGCTATGTTAGTCAATTCCCTGGGGGAACCACAGGAAATCCATTTAGCTGACAAGCAAAAACAAAGATCAAAATCAGGCTCAACGCATTGGCTCCGATGACCACTATCGACGCCGCATGGCCCCGAACCCAGCAGTTCCCGCCTCTATGCCATTAGCTAATGTGACCTCGCAAATCCAACAACTATTAGACCCCAATTTTGGCAACACACGATCTGCTAGTGGGTTCCTCCCGGATTACATCCGAGGACTCCCCGCACGACTCCAGAAAGAGGATATTGACTACTTGGCCGTCAAGGGTGCCTTAACCATCCCGGACGTGACACTCCGGAACGAACTATTGAAGAGCTATATCCACTATGTTCACACCTATATGCCCTTGCTCGACTTGGAGGAGTTCTTGCAGAATATCGTCCAGAACGATGGAATCCACCGCATCAGTCTGCTGCTCTTCCAGGCTGTCATGTTCGCCGGAGTGGCCTTCATTGATATGAAGCACCTGCAGGCCGCCGGCTACCAGACCCGCAAGGCCGCCCGGAAGGTCTTCTTCCAGCGTGCTCGTCTCCTGTACGATTTCGACTACGAGGTGGACCGCATCTCGCTCGTGCAGTCGCTTCTGCTCATGACCTACTGGTATGAGACTCCCGATGATCAAAAGGACACCTGGCATTGGATGGGTGTCAGCCTATCTTTGGCCCACACAATCGGCCTACATCGGGATCCCGGAAACTCGCGGATGGATGTGCGTCGCCAACGCATGTGGAAGCGGATCTGGTGGAGCACCTACACCCGTGACCGACTGATCGCCCTAGGCATGCGACGGCCCATGCGTGTCAAGGATGACGATTGTGATGTGCCCATGTTGAGTCTCGATGACTTCGAATTCCACCCTTTCTCCCCCGAGATCGTGGCTATCGTTGGCAACTCGGAGATTCTCCAGAATGTCAGCCACCAGCGCGAGCTCGCCTTGATGTTCATCGAGAAGGCGAAGCTCTGTCTCTGCGTCAGCCATGTATTGTCTGCTCAGTACTCAGTCCTCAGCCATAAGTTTGGTGGTACCATGGAGACCACAATGATGCTCGTGCCGAAGAAATCCACCGCGGAGACCTTCGAGGTACGGAGTTGTGACCAGGAATTGGAGGACTGGCTGGCCAACCTCCCTGTCGAGACGCAATATACAGCCTCTAGTGGATCGAAGCTATCCGAAGCAGAAGAAGTGCTTCACTCTCACCGTGCCTTGTTGAAAATGGTCTATCTCACCACATCTAGCGCGCTGCACCGCCCACAAGTTCTCCCCGCCATCCCCTACCCATCTACAGACGCCGAACTCCAAGACATGTCCCGAAACAAGGTGCGATTCGCCGCAGTCGAAATCACTGCCATCGCCCAGGACCTGCATTGTCTCGACCTGACCCGGTACTACCCCACCACCGGCGTCACCGTCCTCCTACCAGCAGTCATCATCCATCTCCTCGACATCAAGTCCACTGACCCAAGCATCCGCATGACAAGCCTCCAACGCTTCTATCAATGCATGCGCATCCTCCAGCGCCTGCGTGAGATCTACGCCTCCGCGGACTTCGCCACCTCCTTCCTCGAAGCCGCAATCCGCAAAGCAGGCATCCAGCTCACCGTCTCTCCCCAAGACGTCCAGTCTTCTTCTGCCTCATCACATACTCGCGATCAACCTGCCGCATCCTCAGACCCCTTCCACTCCACCGCCACCATCCCCTCCCGCCTGCACACCCTGACGCCTCCGCCGGATTCCCTCGCTCAGAAGATCCCGGACCTTACCTACCCTAAACTCTCCGGTCCTTCCGCGGGCGGACGGTCTACCGGAGACCTTTTTGCTTCGACGCCACCGCACTCCGACGGAAGCGAGAATGGCAGCACCAATAACCTCAATCCGAATGCCAACCACAACAAGGACCGTGACGCCTTTGCTATGCCCTCTGAAATGAGTCTGACCGAACTCATGGATCTGGCGAATGATGCCGAGGTTACCCAGAATGACTTCGATGCCCTCATTAACTTTGACGATCCGGGCAATACCGATTTCTTTGCTGATGACAATGCCCAACAAAACGGTGCCCCGGTCCAGGAGAAGGGGTTTGATTTTGAGGTTGATAACGTGAACATGATGGGCTTTGATACGGATGCTAAGGCTGGTGATTTCGCCAACCTGGCGGACAACAGCATGTCCGAGCATGAGCCTATGAAGCTTTCAGACTGAATACCAAAAATTCAAGAGGCAACTCCGGGTTCGGACACAGTCTCTAGCCTGCAAATACGATGAACGGCTTCTCGTATGGCCCCGGGTATATTCTACCTATCGGAAGGTGGCACAGGCAAAATGGCTCGGCACTAAAATTTATGCTGCATGATGTATAGTTCCTTTTCATTTTCTTTTATACACAGTATATATTTTATAATGATGATGATTATGACTGCGGATCACTCGTTTGCTCTTGAGTCTCCATAAAAATAGGATCCCAGAAATGGGTGGGTAGAGAGATATCTAGGAAGTCTCCAAACAGTGTGTCGATGTCTGCAAACCCGTCTTCTTGCGTAGATGTATCCAGATCACCCATCGGAGGTTGGAGGACATCCAGTGGGATTTCCGGCGCCGGAGATACAGCTGCGATTCCATGGCTGTTATCGCGCCGCCTCTTGGCTCGAGGGGAGTCATTGCCTTGGACTGCGGAATTAATCATCCCTGACCCCTCTGGTACGGAGCTGTGGGTGTTCACATTTTTACAGGACTCTGCCACATGTTGTGGACCCATAGGGTTTGTCCGAGAGGATTGTGGCTTGCCTTGAATCTGGTGCAGGGCTTTTTGGCCCAGCCGGGCCATCGCCTCGGCCGAATACCAGTACGGACTAAGGTTTTCTAGAACAGAGCGGCACGCCTCAAGACTAGCTTTCGCTCGGTCGAGGTGCGTGATAAGTTTGCTCGAGCGGAGTTGTCGGTATGAGACACCCATAGACAAGGTGACAGAGTATGGTACGATTGGAAGAGGTGGTAGGTCATCGGCGCACTCCGATGCGACAATGGAGTGAATGCGAACGGCTGCTAGCCCTTGTCTGACAGACGAGAGTCTGGTGTGATCGATGTTCTCGGTGGGTTTATGCCGACAGGACAAAATGGCAACAGAATGATAATAAAGCTCCAAAAAGCCTGCTCGCGGTTAGTTCAAACAGTCCGATGGCACAGCGGAGATTCTCCATGATAGACATACCTAGAGTACCAAAATCCAGGTCATCCTGGGTATCCTCCCCCACAATATCCTCAAATGCAGGGAACCCCTCTTCCCACCCGCTTGTGGTTTCCGCAGAGGGTCGGTAGAACGATATCACAGTTGCGAGCAGATCTGACACAGCAAGCCACACCTCAAAAGCCCCTCGCGACGTCTGAGCGCTGACATTGGGTTTCACGACCCCGATATCGCGATCCGCTAGGAGAACCGGTCGGCCACCGATACTTGCATGCATCTTGTCCAATGTCCATAGACACCAGAAGAGTTTAGTCAGGGAATCGGTGGAGGTTTGATTCGGCCGGCCGAGATGCAATCCTACCGTCTGGGCCTGGTGGATGGCTTGACAGAGGTGTAGAGATGCTGCTTCCGCCCCTTCAAGGCCCTCACAGTGCAAGGACATTAGTGCAAGAACGCGGATCCGTGTCAACCGATCCGGTTCTAGCTCTGCGTCCATAGCGACAACCAGCTCCTTGTAAATCTCAGAACAGAATTGGCGTGACGATAGGATTGGGCCTCCTGGCACAAGGCGTAAGTAGGGATTGGCCGCGCGGGTCTTTGCTGCGGCGAGGCATATGGCTTTTTCAAGAAACACCGAAGCCGAACCTTCTCCTTGGGCTTGGAAAAGTTCTTGGTCGACTATTGGCATAATGTGATTAACTTTGGAGAAGTAGATAGCGGACAAAGACTGGCGCGTCTCGAGGGGTAGTCGTTCGCATGCTTGTATTCCCGCGGCAAACCGTTGGTGAAGCAACGATGCAACGGCTTGGCCATCGATTGCCCTTTGCGCCAGGGTACTATCTGCATATTCTTCGTCTGTGGCTTGTGCGCTCTGTATGCTCTGAGGCTTCGCTTTCTGCGCAGCTGGGGAGTTGATCCAGAGCCCAATACGATCCCGGAGAGGGCTCCCAGTCGGTTCATTTAATTTTTCACGAATCAGAGATTCTGGATTGAGATCGCCCACGAATCGCTCGGTGGCAGGTACTGATAATGAAGCTGGACTAACGGATGTTGCCCAGGGTTGGTCTATGTGCGCGGACGCAGGAAGCTGTTCGGGATTCGAACCATCTCTGTGAAGTGGCCTCGCAGGGTCATCGTTCAATTGTGGCGGTGATCGTTTACTGGTATCATTGGAGGGCTCCCATTTGGGGATCAAATGTCGGCACCGTTTCTATTGCAAGGTTAGCTGGAGGATTTGCTGGGGTCAATGTTCCTATCGCGCACCTTTGACCGTTGACATGTGGGACAAGCTCGCAAGGCCCGAGTGCGACTCCGCGACTGAGGGATATCTGGAAGCCAAGTGAGTTCCATCTAGGAAAGCCATTCACAACGCAGGTGGTTTTATAAGGGTGATGGGTGGAAGAAGCGGAGACCAAGATAGGCTTATCGATAAGGAGATTTTAACCAGGTCGAACTATATAGTATGGCATTGAGCGTAATGCTTCATCGTGGATGCATTTCCCCTACAAATACATCATCGGATTAAAATGACATTTAGTGTGTACATGTGCAAAATCGGTACAAAAATCCTTCCGAAATTCCATCAATGCGCCCGACTTCTCAACACCATAAATATCCCCCGGCTGAAACAACATGGAAACAAAATATAGCCAACCTAGGACTTTTCTAAGCTAGTAAGTTGACAGGTATGAATGCAGTTGAAGAAGTCTAAACTGAATTCAAAGATCTTTCAGCTGCTTCAGCTGCTTCAGCCGCCACTAAGGCTTCAACGGCATCATCATCATCAAACTCATCAACCTTGCTTGGCTGAGGCTTAACTGGCACGTTGGCCGAAGCGGCCGAATTTTCCTTGTCAGGGGCGCAAGGAGCCAAAGGCTTTTTGGATGGCACTAAGCTCCAGTCAATTATTTCGTCTTCTCCGTACCGCGAAGCAAGCCAATCATTACACTTCTTGAAGTGTCCATTTTTGAACTATATATCATCCTGTCAGCGAAGAGTTTCAAGGACAAGTCCGTAGAGGATGGTATACTCACGAAGCCATTATGCGCACTCAGAGGACTGGGATGTACAGATTGTAAGATGCAGTGCTTCTCTTTGTTGATCTTTGCCACTCTGTTTCCGGCAGGCCGACCCCAAGCAAGGAAGACGACGCCGTTGGTTCGTAACCGAGCAACGAGATCGATAACCTTCTGTGTGAATTTCTCCCAACCTTTGTTGGAATGACTGTTGGCCTGGTGGGCACGAACAGTCAGACAAGTGTTGAGCATCAGGACGCCACGCTCAGCCCATGGTATGAGTAGCCCTCCCTTATCGGGCGGTGACTCGAAGTCGGGATAGTCGATCTTGATACCCTTGTAGATATTGAGCAATGATGGCGGAGCTCGTACAGGGGCACGGACGGAGAAACAGAGCCCATGGGCTTGGTTGTGATTGTGATACGGATCCTGGCCAATGATGACCACTTTGACGTTGTGCAGGGGTGTGTGTCTGGACCTACAGCCTGATCAGCACACAGATTTGACCCAAATAGAGTAGATTCAATTTACCATGAATAGACATCCTCCTCCGGCGGAAAGACCTTAACATTGGAATCCTTCTCCTTCTTCAGGAATCGCTTCAAGTTCAAGAACTCGGTGCTGACCACTTCCTCCTTCAAGTGAGCGAGCCAGCTCTCATCCAAGGTATCAATTTCCAACTGCAACAGTTCCTTTTGTTCGGGCGTTAAGGTAGCAACCCATTTTGCCTTATTAAAGCTGCTTGACCGTGGGGTTGGTGTTGAAGTTGAAGTTGCTTGATTGCTGGGGGTTTCGGCTTTGGAGCTCCAAAGAATGCAGTGATGCTTCCACCTTTGGGTTTTTTCGAGTCAGGGGCCGAGATATGCTCCGATTTCCGTTTTATGGCAGGGCTGGTCATGATGGATGGGAAAATATGAAGACTGAAGAAATAAATCCCAGAATGTTGGAAGTTGTCGGGGGCTAGATACGGAGTACCGGGGTGATAAGAGATCGACGCGTTTCACGCGACGCGATTGATCTGCAAGGCTGAGCTCTGATGAAATCTGTTTAGGATTCATAGAAATTTACAAAATTTACCAAATTTGTATAAATTATAGAATTATAGAATAATTCAATGATTTACAGTGTACTGATTTACTGTATACCAGCCACTACAAGTCTAGACTTTTGACACAATTTACGCGGAGTAAAGGACATTGAATATAGTCCGAGTTCAGACAAAGAATACAACATATGAAGTTACACATTCAAAAAGCGAGCAAGCGCTTAAAGCTCATCGTGAGTATCCTTCTCCTCGGATGCAGGAGACTCAGTGGCCTTGGGGGCCGCAGTGACCTCGGCACGCTCCTCAGGCTTCTTGGCACCATCGGCCAAGCCATCGGCCTGGTACTTGCCGTTCTCCTTGATGAAGGTGACCAGGTCCTCAACGGTACGGGAACCGGCATACTCAATAGGGGAGTCCTTAGCACCAGCGGGGTAAAGCTTGATAGTGGGGAAGCCAGTGATGGAATCGGGCACATCGTTGGCAGTGGCGTCAACCTTGGCGACAGTGACCTTCTCATTCAGCTCGGGGATATCGGCGTACAGCGCAGCAAGCTCCTCGTACTTGGGAGCAAGACTGGTGATAGCGAGTTAGAGATGCGACAAATGGCGGAGAAGCTGTAGAAAACTTACGACTTGCAGTGTCCGCACCAGGGAGCGTAGAACTCAACCAGGACATCCTTCTCGTTATCAATGACAACCTCCTGGTAGTTGCGACCAACAACAACGGTAACGGGTCCCTCCTGAGTCTCGGGTACGGGCTCGGACTTCAAGCTAGGCTCAACCTTGCCATCAAGGACGTCCTTGATGAACTTGCCGATATCCTTGGCATCAACCTTCTTGGTCTGGTCGTAAGGGTACTTGGCGTTCTTGGTGGTGTCCTGGATGGCGAAAGCAGGGAACTTCTCGGGCTCAAGGTTGAGGTTGCCAGCGTGAGCACCGAAGAGCTTAGCATCAAGGGTAACAATGTTGATAGCTCCACGGTGGCTCTCAGCGATGGGACGGAAGTCAGCAGCGTACTGCTCACGCTCCTCGGCAGTCTCGGCAAAGATGTAAGCCAGGGGAATACCAGCCTAATCGTGGTAAAAAGTCAGTTTCTTTTCTTGCTCAAATAAGGGACAAATGAAGCTGGACATACCGCCATATACTTGGAGTAAGTCTCGGGACCAAGCTCGCCAACAAGAGGGGTGCTAGCGGTCTTGACCCATTCGAGGATGGCCTCCTCGTCCAGCTTACCGTCGTACACGGCCTTCTTCTCATCGAAGTCCTTGTAGAGAACAATCGAGGGCTGCTTGGCACCCTCAGCCTTGGCGAGAGCAGCATCGTTGGAGGCGGCGAAGAGGAAGTTGTCGCGCTGGGATTCAGCGAACGAAGTGAAGCTCTTGTTGGCGGCCTTGTCATCAGAAGCCACGTATCCGATAATCACGATCTTGTCCAAGGCCTTGAACTCCTCCAGGTTCTCTTCGTTCACGTTCGAGACGGCGGGCATTGACTGCTTGGTCATGTATGAGACAATCCTATCGAAGAGATGCGTTAATTTTGAAAGGACAAGAACCAGGAACCCAGAATGACTTACGCGTCGGCCTTTCGGGCACCAGCGTAGGGCTTGTGTGAATCGGGTCCACGGAAGACCTTCAGAGTAGGGTAGCCATCAACCTCGTAGGTTCGGCACAGCTCCTCCTCCTCAGTGCAATCCACCTTGACCACAGGGATATCCTTGGCCTTCAGCTCTGTGGCAGCCTCTTCGTACTTGGGGGCAAGGGCTTTGCAGTGACCACACCAAGGCGCGTAGAACTCAGCAAGCACCAAAGGGTGTTCCTTGACGAAGTCATTGAAGGTATCAGTTGTCAAGGTGACGACATTGGCGTCAGCGTCGGCAACTTCAGGTTCAGCAGCGTGAACGGCCGCAGTAGCTCCAAGGAGGCTAAGGACCAGAGGGGCGAAAGACCGCATAATTAATCTCTTTAGATTAAACAAAAGCCCAAAATGCTCAAAATCAAAAAGAAGAATGGAGTAGAGAGCTTTAAAGCAGAGAGGGAAGGTTTTATTTAATGGGGGGAAAGGACAGTTTGTTCATTAAAGGTGGAGCTCTGTGACTGGGCTATGCAGGGCTGCAAGGGCGGACCTTGGCTTCAGGTACCTGGTACCTCCACTACCAGGCTAATTTATGGGGAGATTCAGGTACATGGCACTTATATAATTATTAATATGTTGTTGCACATCACAGGTAATACGACGATACATATAGGTAGTCTATAATGGTAACGGAGACATGCCCTTGATATTGCATACGCATGTGGACAAGTGGCCTCTATTATCTAGGTCTATATCCCCCTCAACATCATAGAATCTATGCCTTGTTATTTCCCTTATATCATATTTGCTTCTGGATAGTCCGAGATGAAAAGGACTAGTCTACCAATACCCCGTATATAGACCGAAAATAAAAAAGAAAATAGAAAAGAAAATAGAAAAGAAAATAGAAAAGAAAATAGAAAAGAAAAATAGAAAAGAAAAGCAAAAAGCAAAAAGCAAATATATCCTACTTCTCACATCACAGTCGCTCATATGTTGATCTTCACTCTTCAATCGGATCCTCTGTGGTCTGATCGTCAGATATGGCCCCATATTCTGATCCTTGAGGTATGCCATCCAATTCAGCCCCCAATGCTACGGCATCCCGTTTCCCACGATCGACATCCACCAAAAGCATAAGTGGTAGCGGCACAAAAATTAAAACCGCCAAAAACACAAATGCTGGTCGAATCTCACCGTAGCGATCCGTAATGGCGCCAACAATAGCTGGCCCAAAAATGCTAGACCCTTTGTCGGTGATTGCATAAAGCGCGTAGAAAGCTGCTTCGTAACCTGGGGGAATGAGTTGCCCAAAGAAACTTCGACAGTATGATGACAGTCCAGCCATGACAAGGCCGTAAAGGGCCCCCAAAGGATACATTTCCCAAGGCTGATGGAGACCAAGCCCCACGCGTTGCACAGCCGGTATGAACCCAAGAAGACCATATAGCGGAATGAGCTCAAACAGGATAATACACGCAATGATCGTCTGCGAGGCTCGTAGATTGAAGAAATTCGATATGTAGCTCCAAGAGAATGCACCGAATACTCCGGCAAGCATGACGATCACATTGATCAGTCCCAGCGCGGCAGGCTTCATGTTCAGTTGGGTTTTTGCAAACAGTACAGCAGTGCCACTGACAGTGGCAATTCCATCACTGAGAAGGAACCAGGCAGCAAGGAATATCACGATATCTTTCAGTTGCCGCGCCCGTGTCACGGTTTTTCCAAGAGATTTCCAGGCATACGCCATGTATCCGGTCCACGAATGGAGCGGTTTTCCGCCACTGCCCAATAAAGGCGGGCCTGGCCGAGTACGCAACCACAAGGATGCCGGGATGGTAAAAACAAACCACCATAACCCAATCAAGAAGAGCACAAGACGTAATGAGAATGTTGGCGGACGCACGACCACAACAACTAAGATAGAAATCACCTGCACAATCACGGCACCGATATAGCCTATACCGATGCCATACGACGAGATTCTGGTGGAGAGTCTAAGCTCCTGGGAGGTGATAGTGGCAGCGGACGTCTTGCTGGCTTCCCTGTCAGGCCCAAGTAGTGGCGTGGAGTCATCCACGTTTGTTCGATCAATATCCCCGGTTGAAGAGAACAAAGGGTCACCCCTGGGGCTCGCCACATTATCATCTGACGGCGCAACCTCTTCACTTTCCTTGAGTGCTGGATGATGGCGGACCAGAACAGGTAAGAAGGAATTCAAAAGGACAAAGGACGCACCGAAGCAAGTATTTGAAATGATTGCAAGCAGTCCACCTAGGAGGTAAACCTTGGGGACCACAACCAAAAACAACATGGTCGCAATTGAGCCAATGAAAGCAAAAACAACCAACAGTTTCTTGCGATAGGTTCCATGGTCAGCAGCTCCTGACATTGAAATTATAATGACGGCTTGGACCAAGACGCTTAATGAAAAAGTATATAGGGCAAAGCTTGCCGTGTTGATTTCAGCGCCGAGGAAGTAAATGATGCACTGGCCGCCATCTGACACCTGGGGAAGATACACCGACGCATCTGAGCCTGGTGGTGGCAGCGAGGGGCTCCAAGTTGCGCTGCATGGTGTGGTCTTGTCAGACAAAAGAACGCCCCGATCCCGAGCCATTTGCTCCAGCGTTATCGGAAGAAATGAACCTTTCACAGATCAGATGAAGTCTAGGATGAAGATCCCAAAAGGATACCCATAGAAGTAGGAACACATACCCATAGCACATACTACAAAAACCTCTGCAGCCCAGCCATAGCAATACCAGCCAGCAAGCTCCCTCTTGCTGGTCGGCCGGGTGTCATCACCGGGATATTGAGGAGACTCGACATTCTCCTGTATACTCATGGCTGGCAAGTGAAAGCCAAATTCATGACCAGAAATGAACCAAATAAGAAGGCATGCAGTATTTGGAGGTAATGAAAGTCAGTCAGAAGTCACTTGGGTTAATGATGCCTGGAAGTGTTGGGAGATGGTATCAAAGAGGTGAGGTCATATGAAGGGCCAATGTTGACTTTCTTGGGGGGAGATCTCTTTACAAGGCATGTACATGAATGTATGGTACAAAAAGTCACTGAGGACTTCAGGGTTGGTGTTAAATTGTACTGGACTGATTGTAACAGTACTTCCAATCAATACATAATTTATTACCATACAGTGCAAATTGATCCATCACAATACAAGGCATCAAGGCATCCAACAGAAGGCGGTATGGTAAATGCATGCAGCGCATCGCGCTTTCATCAAATCATCTTGGGCTTGAGATATTGTTGGCCCAG